GCTACAGTCAGTCAGAGCTGCAGCAGTTGCCTCCCCCGCCCCCATTTTCTATCCAAATCTAAGAGAAAGGGCTCTCCCCCCAACCAATGCTGACTGGGGAAAAATTCTCATCTTGGATTTGAGTAAATATGGCGCACACAAAAATAATGGCTAGCAATCAAAAGCCAACCTTAACCAGAAGTTGCTACCTAGTTATTTAGTACAAGAAGAATCCAGCTCTCCCTTCATCCCTTAAATACCAGAGAAGCTTTTACATTCTGCTTGCAGCTCAACTATTTAGGCTTTTCGTAAGAGATGCAAATGGTGAGATACCTTACAAAAAAGGCTCCAGTGACAAACCTCACTTGGCGGTAAGTCAATGAACCTCCATAACATAGCCTGTCTTTGCTAGAAAAATTCCAGGCCCATATATTTACGGTTTGTCTGCAAATGGTTACTTCAGTGCCATTATAAACCTACAACCAATAAGGAGTGTTTGATCAACCAATAAGGAGTGTCTGACCAAACTTAAGACTATGCTACTCAAGAACTTTCATAAAGTAAAAGCAAAAACATTTACAATGCTAATGCTTCCTCTTAATGGTAAAAGTACTTATAAATCTGTGAAAATTTTGGAAAACTTCAAGTACAACAAATAACTACAAAGGCTATAAAAAACTAACAAATTACACTATATAGTATGTTAAGCATTAGCTATTTTTCCTTTTAATATTTAAGTGTGGGTTTTAATGCATCTCTCCATTATATCACATTTACCGATGCACTCAACACCGTGACTTACTTGCTCATGAAAACATAGCTTTGCAAAAAGACAAATATAACACACCTTCTACTAGCTTCCATTTATTTCCCTTTTTAAGAGTAAACAAAAACAAAACACAAACCTGAAACTTTCTGCATGACAAAAGCATGAGTAACATTGGTCTGTAAGTTTCCTTTAAAGCATATCCATTGAAGAAACATTCTGCAGCATAATCTGAATGGTAGTGGATTCATATTTTATGTTTTTATTTCAAATGGTTAAACCTGACATTTCATTTGTAATATTTATAGAATGGAACCAAAAACACTAAAGCTCCTGGAGCCAATATGATTAATACAGTTTGCCTACTCATCTGTTTCTCCTTCTCAACCGAAAAAAGTCTAATTCCAATCTGATCTCTACCTAAAGTAAAATAAACTAGCCCTGTTTTTTTTTTCTAAACATACAAAAGTGTGACCAAAATAGGATCTCTGCAAGATTCATTTTCCTATTGTGATAATTTTATTTTAAAATAAGCCTGTTGCCTTTGTCAAAAAGGTACTGTAGTAGCCAAAAGCAAATTAAACTGAAGTTCTTATTAAAAATTCTTATTAAAATTTGTCAAGAAAAGCTTTTATTCACACACTATTTCAACATGTGTAAAAAATTACACTGAAGGAACATCCTAATATCATTAAGATGCCTGCAAAAACTGCATAGTTAACTCAAGATCATACATAGCGTTCTCTCCTTAAATGTACAGGCAACCTCTGCTTAATGCTGTTTTGCTTAAAGCTATTTCACTATAACACTAATTTAAAATTGATATCCGATTTCACTTAGTGCTCAGCAAGTATCGTTATAACGCTCACGGTCGCCATCTTGGGTCATTAAAAACAACTGCAGTCACCATCTTGGGTCATCAAATACTTTCAGTTTCGCTTAACACTTGTTTTGCTTAATGCTCAGTTTTTCAGGAACCAATTAAGAGTGCTAAGCGGGGGTTGCCTGTATAGTCTCTCAATCCAAAAGAAATTCATGCATTTAGCAGGAGCACAGGCAGATAAGGTTCTTTGGGTAGAGCTGATATCTTTTGTTAGACCAACCCTCTTCTTGCAATTCTTCTTTGCAAGCTTTTGGACACAATCACCCTTCTTCAGGCACAGGGAGAGTCTGTGCTCACTCAAACTTTGTGAATAATGCTCATTAAATTAATACAGAGCACTGACAGGGTTGTGTACTTAAGGAGTACTGTTTACACGGCTATCAGTGCTGTGGATAAGCAGCCTAGAAATTCCTCTTATTCTCAATGCTTCTAGTAGCCAATTTTAAGGCTCCTAGTAATAGTCAGTTTCAGGGCTACTATTAGAAGCTTTGAAAGTGGAGAGATCCAGCAGCCACAGTTATTTTCAAGGTTTTTAATAGCAGCCCTTTGACATCTGCCTCCACATCGTTTTGACACATTTAAAGGAGTACAGGCAACCTCCGCTTAACGTGGTTTCACTTAGCACTATTTCGTTATAGCACTCATTTAAAATTCATACCTGATTCCACTTAGCGCTGAGCCAGTTTCATTATAGCGCTCAGTGAAGCGGCAGCAAGAAGCAGAGTGGCAGCGAGTGGGTGGGAGGGCATGAACGCAGGGCCTGTGCCAGTGCTGCAGGGCCAGGGCCAGCAGGGACCCAGGGCAGGGCGGCAGGAGCACGGGGCCCAGGCTGGCACATGGTGCCGGAGCGGCTGGCAGCCGGGGGTTGGGAAGAAGCAGCAGCAGCAGCAAGCAGCAGCGGGTGTGGGGGCAGGCGTGAGTACAGAGCCCTCACTAGTGCCTGGGGCCAGGGCCAGTGGGGGTCCAAGGCAGGCCAGCAGGAGCACAGGGCGTGGGCTGGCATGTGGGGCAGTAGCAGCCAGTGGGCAGGCAGAGGGGTGGGGAGTGGTGGCGGCGAAAAGCTGCAGCAAGAAGCAGCGGTAACCAATTATCTCTATTTACATTTATTCATATGGGGAAATGGATTTTGCTTAGCGTGGTTCTGCTTAACGATTGGTTTTTCCGGAATGAATTAAAAGCATTAAGCTGGGGTTGCCTGTACAATTAAATTCAAAGACAGTTAGCATGCAAATAACCAAAAGACAACTTACTAAGCAAAAGACGGCTAAAAAAAACGCAAAACACTTACTGTATTTACTACAAGATGAGGTCCCCCGCCTCAATTAGAAAGGGGAGAAAAAGCCCTTTGTCTTATGGCTGCATACAAGGAAACCTCATTGGATACACTATCATTAAACTGCTGCCAGAAGCTGCATGTGCTCAATAATGGAAACAAATTATGAAGTTGATTAAATGCACCCAACACTGAACATGAGTACCAAACACAAGGCCCATAACAGGCAAACATGCTAATGGGAACCTAACACAAGGATACATTAGTACAGTCCATCTGAATAAGATACATGGTAGTGCCCATTGTTCCCTTCACCCCTGATGCTTTTTTGACAGCATGGTGAGCCATTACATTGCATACACTTCAACTTCCTCTTCACTCCCACAGCTCAGCTGTACCTTTCTTTCCCATTTCCATGTATTCTCGTTTCTTTACCAGTCTTAAATGCCTGGCAAAAATCACCAAATGGGGCCCCAACAATTTACCCAAAATCCCTCTGTTGCCACCCTGCCAAGGTCCAACAATAAGTGGGGAAGGAGCTGCAGGGGAAAAAAGGTGAGGGGAGGCAGAGGGCAAGGGTATAAAACTATAAAAGCAAAGTAGCATCATTACAACAGGAACAGACTATCTAATAAAAGAATTTAGGGGGTGGGAAAAACCACTTGTGTGCTACATGATCACTGCTTAGTTTGAAGCTAGTGAAGGTACTCTCTCTCTTAGGAACAGTAATACTGAACAATCTGCAGCCTGATCTCCATTTTCAGGGAGAACTAAGAAGCCTAATGCTATATTCGGCCCTGCTGTCATCTCACCATATGATCTTGGGACTTGACTTCTACTTCAAAGACAAGCCTTTATCCAGACTGCTCAACTGAAACTGACTTCTTACTCCCACAAGGGTAACTTCAGGAATCTGAATTCTCTGTCTTTCCCATGCAGCTAGTAAGCAGCCAATGTAACATAGAGCACCTCCTCATTAACCTTCTCAGCCTGCTTAGTTATTTCAGGCATGCTAAGCTATGCTATGTTTTACAAGATGCCACTTTATAAACTTAATGCAAAATATACAATGACACACCACATTTTCAGATGAGCACACAGAAAATACAATCGCTCAATGAATCATTTAAAAGGCTGCACACACGTATTCTCCTCTTCAGAAGGCTATGGTTCCACAACCTACAGCTAAGGGACCAACCTGCTATCTATGACACCCACTGCAGCCTCCATTCAGCAATAAAAACATACATTCAAGTTCAGTTAATGACAGTCAGGCTATTACCGTATATATCTTATGAATAGGATGTGGTATGTGGTTAGGGTATTTAAATAGAGTATATTGCAAAATGGCTACAGAATCATGGAATTTATCCTGAAGAGCAGTAAAAAGATGCTGATAAAAAAAATAAACTTGTCTTGCAACAACTTTAATTTTATACATTAAGTAATGCATTGACTAACATTTTATATGCACAGTTAGATATGTCTGCATGGGGCTGCAGGTCTCGTTACACACTGCTTTAAAAAGCTTTTGTTTTTTCCCCCCCAAGTATCTGGAGACTGAATGTTAATTTATTTAAGCAACACTCTATTTAAGCATTCCCTATGTAGCATCTTTAATATATAATTTAAGAATGAATATGCCACTTGTGTTCTGAATCTATTAACAACTCTCTATAGAAACTATTAAATATTTTAAAGTAAGAATCAACAACCTATGGCCCATGGGCTGGATCCAGCTCAGGTGATCAGCAGCAGGCTTCAGCCAGGCAGCGGAGGCATCCAAAAGTTGCATTTAGGTTATTCCCTTCAATGCAGCTGGAACAGCAGGGGCAGCATCCCTTGGGTCCTACTGCCTGCTGCACTCTATCTATTCCCTCTGTAGCATCTATTAAGCACTGGGGGTGGGGTTCAGAGGTGTGTCGCCTGAGGTTGCAAGCAACCAATCCCAGCAGCAAGAAATTGCCGAACCCCATTTAAAGCCATCAGAAGTAAGTATCTTTGGCTAAATGTAGTTAACTATTGTATATATGCATTAAGAATAGTGAAAGCTTGTACACATTTTTAGCTAATAACTACTCTAAATTGAATACTTCCAGACACCACCTAGAACTGCATGAAGCCTCAGCAGATGTCTCGCTGCAATGGTGAGTCATTTCTCATTCCAAAAATAATTTTGTAAGACATTAGTAATATAAACAAACATCCTTCAATGAGCGTGGAAGCTTCCGTTTCATTAAAAGCTGAAAAGGTTGTCAATTTCTTAAACCTTCCAGCATTTTTTACAGTAAACAGAATGGAAATGGATAATACTGTTTAAATAAGAAGAGAATATGACTATTAATGACAAGAGCTGACAAAAAGTAAAGGTTTCTATTTAGCAGAAAGTGAATAAAAACTAATTCTACACAAAAGTGATTCAACTTCATTTGTTTGCTTAGCCATGATTTATATTAAGGTCTGAGGAGGTTTTTTGTTAAACTAATTATATTTAGTATAAGATAAGATGAGATATGGTTGACATTCTTTTAATGTATTGGTAATTATGCTGGAGTGATTGAAGCCAGCAATATATATAAAATAAACAAGGAGAACCTGAGAAAAAACACAATCTCCTTTTCAGGCTAGAGAATGTTCAAAGTCATTACTCTGTAATGCTTTTACTACTCAATGAAATGTATCCATGATTCAGCTGAGCAGTTCTATTGAGCCTAGTAACCCTCAGAGCACCACCATTAAGATTTTAGAAAGATATTACTCTGAGCAGACAAAAATTCAATCATCCCAGCATAATTACCAATAATTTTTTAAAAAATCTCAACCCCACTATGACTTCCTACTAAAACTGTTCACTGATGTCCTTCACAGTGTTACAGCAGAGAGGTCTAAGACCCACCACATCAAATCAAATCCTACAATTACTTTATTTTTGTTATAGTGATGTTGTAGATGTGATGCTCCAGGAATTGAGACAATAATTTCTTAGGCTGAATTTTTTTTTTTT